TTTCAGCAGGTTGCGAAGATCACACTCGATAAAAATTGACTACGAACTCATGCAACAGACGTATGTCTGTGATAAGTTGATAAGCACATGCAAACCAGCCCTAACGCACATACGCAAAGTCTGAAACAATAATTTACAGTCTTTAACAATTTTGAAACCTATAGAAAATATTATAAGTTAAGATTAGTTTGTTCCAAATACGAACTATTTAAAAAAAAGTAAACTCTGGAAAAGGGACGAACCACTGCATTGGTGGCCAATAAACGTTACTAGAAGTGTCGGATAATATCATGAGCAGACTCTTTTTTATTTTGTAAGAGCTTTATATAGCTATTTCCGACATAAGATTTAAGTTAGCTTTAAATCCTTCCTGAAATTCTGGCGAATATTTCACAAATCCAAATAACAGACCCGATGTAAATGTAACTACTTATTTATATTTCGACGACGAAATCGCATGAGTAAAGTCATGTGTTGAATTTTTAGTAAAAGTGAACAAAATTAATGTGCCTTGCAACAAATGGGAAACAGTTTAAATCGTCTTAAAATTTTATAATCAAAGAAAAGGTAAGGTCTGATTCACAACAAGCTTTTAAATAATGAGTATTTAGAAGACATAGCAATGCTCATTGAAGAATTCATTGCAGCAGTCGGCTTATTAATGCCCCTTGTCAAATAAAAAGCACAGCCTTCCTCCGTTACAACATTTTATGAGCTCTAGATAGTATCTTTTTAGGGGATTAGAGGAATGCAACTTATTCTCACATGGAATGTAAACAGGTTGCAGAATGTGGACCCAAAATGCAGATATAATGTCAAACCGGAAATAATGTTCTCAATTCACCAAAATGATTGTTTTTGAGTAAAAAATCGAAGAAAACGGAATTTTCTGACAATTACAAATTTACAAATTTGTTCTATAACATCTAGTTAAGTTAATAAGTCGAAAGACGTAAGTCGCGTATTCTTCTGAGTTAAGAATTTTTAGGCAAACGCAAGAAAGGGCGCTTTTCAGTTGGCATGTTGGTGTGGCTGAAATATTATGACATTATATTGCATGCTTATCAATATCGCAATAAGTTTTAACCGACCCTTCCCTAATCAATCAACATTTCATGAGATCTCTCATGAGCTGTAGGTTGGGAGAGTTGCGCGCAGTAGAAAGTCAGCAACACAGACAGTTGCAAAGACTTTGAGGGTGTTTTTTGAGCAGCAGAAAAGGAGGGCATACATGTTAATTACAGGACGAGTAAAATAGATGCCCGGACTGCGTTGAGTGTTCTACGGATGCAAAAGTAACCCTAAATTATTGCTTATTAGAACGTGCGGCCTGTTGGCTTTATGCGACAGGTAAGAATCGCGAATACTCCATTTTACTAAGATTCCAAAACGCAAAAGCAGATAGCACGTGCTGCAAACTGCACGAGCCACTCAAATTAATTTTAGAATTACATTTACCCAATTTACCTAAAAGATCTGCAAACTGACGATTCAAACCGAAATCTCCAGATGCTTTTTTGTGCAAAAGTCTAGTACGTTAAAATCAGTAGGATGCAACAGAGGGCTTAGCCCAAAGCTTTAGAGACTGCTCCATTACATAACCATAGTGAATCGGCATAAAAGTAAGTATGTTTTGCTAATATGCGTTAGTTTATGACTACCGTCTCCGATGCTGTTAAACATCCTAGAAACTACAAGAAAAACTGCCATCACCTGAAAATGTTCCTAATACAGTGTAAGTCAAAAAGTAGCAAGTAAAAATAAAACCTATGGAAATTTTTAAAATAATCGTTCTAAATATGTGAAAGCGCTTTTTACTGAAGCCACTTTGTTTATGCAACAAAGATCCTACGCTTAAATGTTAATGGAAGTTAATTTCGAGTGAATAAAAAGGAAGCTACGGTTGATCTACCTACTGATACGCATGCCCCATTGGTGTGTTAATCGATCTCCGTCGATGGGATGTAATGCTGTAGTTATCTTTATTTCCATGGACAACTAGGCGATAACTTGCACTTTTATAGGTATAGGTATGCCTCATTTTTTTTATTTTAATCCGAGCATGCTTCATTTACTTCCACCCTTGAAAAGCAGCAGTTTATAGACTACCTAATTTAGTGTTTGGATGATTTATACGAAGCACGGGGCCTCGACGAATGGGGTGGCGCATACTTCCCAAGCGGCCAGTAAATCAACAGTTATCTCAAAGTCATGCTGATATCGCGACCTTGAGGTAAGCGTCGTTTAATTGCGCTTAATTGACTGCGTGGTTGAAAAAAGCTCAATGTGGTATCGCCTAGCGTTTTATGGAAATTGGTTTAAAGTTGGACTTTTGGGGTTTCGATGAACAGACATTATAACGCAGTCCATCCATCAGAGAAGCTTATTTTGAACCATTTTATAATCTTAATGCTATGCGATGGGTTGGCAATATTTCGCGATTACGTTACTAGAGCCGATAGATCAAAATTAAAATTTTCATTGTAATTTTTCGGATAGCGTCCTTAAGATTGCCTGCTACAAGGTGATACATTAACTTTTGAGGATAGTTTGAAAAATAAAAATAAGACTATAATGAAACTACATTATATATGAACCTTTGACAGAAATTCAAAGGCCGCGTTTCAGAGTCCGTTACTTAGTAACGAATAACAGTAAACAAACTAGAAAATCGCAGTTTAGTAGCCTAATTGCTTATAAAAATAGCTTGGAGACGCTAGACTGTATAGTAATGAGCTGACGGTCTTTCATTTGCCACTTGTTGGGAGAACATCTCGGCCGCTACCCAAAAAACTGGACAGTTGAGTAATTTAACTGTTACTGATTATCTCACGGATGCTGCGGATTGCAAAAAAACAGCTACACATCTCCTCAGTGAAATTTTAAGGTCACACGACTGCAACAATCCTTCACTTATTCGGAATGTACAGTGTGGGCAGGTACTCCAGTTTTTAATGCCCATCTCTTTGTGAAAACCAACAATTTCTTTGGGTTGCACTTTCATGGCTTATCGACCGTCTTAAACTACACTTATGCTACTGCGATAGGCCAAAGACCTCTAGTGTTGAGGCAATAAGAACGGAAACGAAGGAGATTCCATCGCTGGGACAACATTTATATTCGCCTGAAGTTTCGACACCCCTCGCGGATTCTTCATCAGAGATATAGAAAGAAAGCAGTAGCAGAAAATCAGAATGAACATCCTTAATTGTTTTGGGTATGCTAGCGTCTGAAGATCAAGGTATGAGTGGGATATCGTGGGTAAAATCTAACTTGGTACTTTATTGTTATTAAAATACGTATTTAACACCTCTTAAACATATATATGCACTAATTGAACGAGTTTTCGAATTTATCCCAGGATATAATAAATTACTTATATTTTTTGACAAATATCGTTTCAATGAGCAAAATTTCCAA